TGTTCTTTTGCATCTGGCTTCTTATGATCCAAATATTGCTTTTGAAAATCATCCAGGCTATTATATGTATTATCAGTTCATTTTTATTGCTGACTTGTATTCCATTGTATGAATATTCCACAGTTCGTTTATTCTCCTCTTGATGGACATTTTGGGTAGTTTCTAGTTTGGGGCTATTATGAATAAAAATGCTATAAACATTCTAGTAAAAGACTTTGTGGATATATGCTTTCGCTTCTTTAGAGCATAAATCTAGGAGTGGAACTGCTGGTCCATAGAAGAGATGTTTGCTTAACTTTATTAGAAATTGCCAGAGTTTTCCCAGTTGTGGTTGTACCATTTTACATTCCTATTAGGAATAAATGAAAGTTCTAGTCAACTCACATCCTTACTAGCACTTGGTATTATTAGTCTTTTTATTTTGCCCAATCCTAGTAGTTATAAAGTAGTATCTAATGAAGATTTTAATTTGTGTTTCCCTGTAACTAATGACATTGAGCAGCTTTTTGTGTGCTTATTGGTCATAAAAGGAGACCTGGTAGAGCTGTGGTTAAGTGCTCAGTTGTAAGATCAGCAGTTCAAACCCACCAGCTGCTCTGCTAGAGAAATATGTGGCCGTCTGTTTCAGTAAAGATTACAGCCTTGAGAACCCTATGGGACGGTTCTACTCTGTCCTGTGGGGTCTCTATAAGTCAAAATCCACTTAACAGCAATGAGTTTGGTTTTTGATTTATTCTGTTTTTTACCCATTTGTCTATTCTTATGCCAATTTCATACTGTCTTAATTACTGTGGCTTTATAGTTAATCTTAAAATTTGGTACTGTTAGCCTTCTAAATTTGTACCTTTTTTTTCAAGCTGGAAGAAGATACAGAGTCCAGAGATAGATCCATGCATATATGGTCAACTGATGTTCCACAAAAGTGCCCAGGTAATTCAGTGGGCGAGATGATAGTCTTTTCAATAAATGGCACCAGAACAAATGCATATTCCTATGCGGGGGGAAAAAAAAGAGCCTCGACTCTTATCTTGCATTATGTAAAAAAATTAACTCACAATGGAGTACAGAACTAAATGTAAAACTCAAATCTATAAAAGTTTTAGAAGAAAACTTAGGAGAAAAATCTCTGTAACCCTCAGGTAGGCAGGGACTTTTAATATAAGACACAAAAAAGCATGAAACATACAATAAAAAAAATGATATATTGGATTTCATCAAACTTAAAAGCTGCTGTTTGGAAAACACTGTTCAGAGAATGAAAAGAAAAGCCATAGACCAGATGAAAATAACAGCAATGTCCACTCAAAGACTTCCAGAAGAATGTTCATAACAGCTTACTTATAATAGCCAGGATCTGGAAACAACCCAAATATCTGTCAAAAGGTGAATGATAAATAATGGAATACTACTCAGCAGTAAAAATAGAATAAATTGCTGGTATAATAATAACGTGGATGAAGCTAAAAACGTTACTGAATGGAAGCAGTCGGGCCCAAAAGAGTATAAATTTAGGATTCCATTTATATGAAGATCAAATACAAGCAAAACTGGGGACCAGTTGTTGCCTCTGAGGGACTGGAAGAGGGCACAAAGACACTTTCTGGGGTTTCAAAATGTTCTGTATCTTGATTGAGGTGGTGGTTACCGGGTCTACATATTTATTAAAACATTTGATTGTACACTTAAAATCTGTGTATTTCCTTGTATGTGCATTTTGCCTTAGCTTAAAAAATTGGTAAATTTGACAAAGATTCTAGCTTAGGCCCATGTCCATTCTTCTCTTCTTTCACAATAATAGAGATTTATCTGATGTCTTAGGTCATTTCAGTGGTGTTCTTGTAAATATTTAACTTTCAGCTCTCCAGAAAAGAAAAAAAGCCCTGTTTTGTAATGTTTGCTGATTTTTGTGGGGTAAGTACTTCTACCACGGCCAGTTTCAAGATACCAATATGACATTACTGAATGTGGAGTTGGGAAGAGATGTATACTATTATATAGAATTTTTATCAAACAGCTACAATAGATCTAAATAACCTCAAAGCACAGGTAATAATAAAATATAGTAAAACAATTGAGAAGTGATGACTTTTGAGTATTTATTACCTTTGTTTTTAAATATAATTTAATTGTTGGCTGTATCATTTAATTCTTAATGGCTGTGTTTAACAACCAGTTCACAAAATTCCTGAAAATTAACAAATAACTCTCACAAACTGGAACAAACCAGTTCTGGCACCCACTGGTCATTCCCTACAAGCAAATTCTGAGATTCATGTTTAAGTAACTTATTAAGGGAGCACCTTGGGAGAAACTTCTATGGGTGTAAGGGAAGCAGGATAGGGAAGAGAAAGACGTTTAGCAAGGATGTAATTGCAGATGAAATCTAAGCTTAGCTTGATCCTGTGGAGATCTTTGGGATCTACTTTACTCTGAGTTTGTCCATACATAAGGCAAGGATCTGGATTGTGTGCTCCTGTACCAGTAAATTATTGGCTACTTGCTGATCAGGGGTGAAGTAGGATATAACTCCCAGTCACCTTCTGCAATGCAGCTCCAAGTGCCCAAAGGAAAGCCTCCTGAGAAGGATGCAGGTGTGAATCCTTAGTAGCAACACCCAGAGTACCTGGGGGTATTGACACCCTAAACGATAAATCCCAAGGAATCTGGGTGAATACCAACAATGCCTGATACAACTAAGTATATCTAGGGCCACCCACCTAAAATTATCTTTCCCAGCTTCCCTTGAAGCTTAGAATGACCATGTGTTTAAGTTAGTTTCCATTAGATGTAAGCAGAAGCGATGTGTGCTGTTTTGAGGTATGTCCTTCAAAGGAATATGAATG